GGGGAGGAAGATGGGAAGGAGGGAGGAAGGGAATGAGAGGGAGGGAGGGGGAGGGGAGAGGGAGGAAGATGGGAAGGAGGGAGGGAAGGAAGGGAATGAGAGAGGGAGGGAGGAAGAGGGGAAGGAGGAAGAAAGATGGGAATGAGGGAGGGAGGAAGGAAGGGAATGAGAGGGAGGAAAGGAGGAAGATGGGATGGGAGAGAGGGAGGGAATGAGGGAGGAGGAAGATGGGAAGGAGGGAGGGAAGGAAGGAAGGGAATGAGAGAGGGAGGGGGGAAGAAAGACGGGAAGGAAATGAGAGGGAGAAAGATGGGAAGGGAAGAAGGAAGGGGATAAGAGGGAGGGAGGAAAGAAGGAAGGAAGGGAATCGGAGGGAGGAAGATGGGAAGGAAAGAAGGTCTCGCGCCGCCGAGCGAGCGCGCCGAGGCCCCCAAGTCGGAGGAGGAGGAGGGGATGTGACGAGGGCTGCGCGCTGTGCATTGTGGGACGCGCTTGCACGTTCGCCTGAGTCGTTCCAGTTCACGCGTGACGGAGCTCAGAGGGGAGCGGGAGAAGCCGGGAGGGGGGGACGCATTGCTACCGCTGCCGCCGACCCCGCTGCGCCGTAAGTGATCCACGCCGCGTTTCTTGCCCGGAGCCTCCAGGACGCGAAGGCTGCCCGGCGGCGGGGCTTGTCCTTTGAATGCTCGCCGCTCTTCTCTCGGTCGCTTGGGAAGGTGGGGTTGGGAAACGGCTGGCTCTTCGCTCTTTCTTTCTCTTGCCGTTGCAGCCCCGGAGGTGTCCGTTTTGCAGGCAGCAGCCCCTGCCTTGCCTGCCCGGCAGTCGCCGCCAAGTTCGGCTCTTGGGCGATCTTTGGGAGAGCTCAGCCGCGACTTTTTTTGGCATCTGGGATCTCAGTAGGGGGTGGGGCATGGGAGAGAAAAGATCCCTCTCTCGGGATCGACAGGGTTAAGAGAGAGCTGGAAGACTTCCCCGCTATGCCCTTAAAAGAGAACCAGGAAATAAACTCTCTCTTCTCTCGTTGCATCTATTCTCATTTTGACTTCAGCTCGAGCAGGGTCGGATTGGGAAGCGATCCGCAAATCCCGAGGAAAACAGCTCTGTTGCTCCCCAATGTAAACAATTAAAGAAAAATGGTTTGGCTTGCTTCGGTTACGTTTCTCCTCCCTCCCTTCGACCGTCCTTCACTTTCCTCTTTCCTCTCACCTCGGGTCATTGGACACGAACAGATAACGAACAGGGATTGCAAATAGAAATGCTGGGGGTGGGGAATTAATGGGGGGTCATGTTCCCTGTTTCAGGGCAAAGGATGCTCCTGGCCCAAACTGCTTTGCTCAAAAGTAGCTTTTTAAAGTAGCTCATTATCGAAGGGATGGATGAAATAATGTAGCAGAAATACACACACACACACACACACACACACACACACACACACGAAAGTATTTTAGAAATCTGAACCAAAGCTGTGATGCTGACCCTGCGAGATTTACCCTGTCTTCTGAAGCGGGCAGCCATAATAAAATGAATAATAAATGTGTTTAGAAGACCTGTTAATTGAATTATGACCTTCAGTTTATAAAAAGACTTCAGAAGAAGGTGAATTGTGGAAATAAGAGTTAAGAATCAAGGGCAGTCATAGCTCATACAAGAGAATAAAGTCCAAATTGTGGTAGCTCTGCTTGTTTACATGTGGGTCCCCCAATATTAATAAGATACGGTTTGAATCTGTTCAAAGTATGAAGTACACTTCTTACTAATTTGGATAATTCTCTGAAGTGTACATGCATGAAATTTCAAAATTACTTCCTGGCAAACGTATGTTGTCATTTTCAGTTTGGGGACCAAATTACCTTATTACTTATTACCCTGACTTAATTCATAACTCAATATGTAGATTTTGGCAGTGTTGAGTTATATCAGTTTTTCACGATCGGAGATTTTGTTCATCTCACTAGAGTATTAATATTTATGCCTTAACGCCTATTGGGAGAATGTTACTTAGCAACAGGTGTATGGGGACTACTCTAGCTTACATGTTTCTTCTGTTTCTTAGGGTTTGAAAAGAACAAGCCCCAAAATCAGTCATTCTTTCAATCAGGCAAGAAGTGCATGAGTAGGTGAACAGAAATTTTTAGTAGGACTCTACATGCTTTAGATTTGATTTCAAAATAGCAATTTGGAGCATACAGAGGAGTAAATATAGCATCTGTGTGCAACTTTTTGAAGCAGCTGCATTTTCTCCTGGTATTGCATGGCTGTTCTCTGTAACTGATATATGAACCCTGGAAAAGATGCGACTGCTTTAAAGAATTGTAATAGGTATTACATTCATGCATCCTCATAATCCAAAGCAGTTTTTGGGAATCATATCCAAAACATGGCATAACCCTAATATTTAAGACAGTCAGAAACCAGAATAGTAGTTACTGATATTTGATAATACATTAATTTACTAAGAAATTTCTGTTGTGGATTTGCAATATATTTTATTCTTGACACATATTCAGCCATTTTTAATTGACTAAATCTTTCTTTAGATTTAACTAAACCTATACTTTTCTTTCTTTCTCTAATCAGATTCTACAAATAGGAATGTGCAGTAATGCCTATACTATGTGTATCATTAAATTCTTAATTATAAGTATTGATTATTATTAACTGCCATATATATTTCAACTGTTTCTACTGTAGCTTTACACTTGTGTAATTGAGAACAGAATCTGAATAACTTGGTTCAAGTGACAGTGACAAATTTGGAGTTTGCATCTGAATGCGTTCTGTACATAGTCTTTGATTAGGGAATGTATCAGCATTGTAGAGTCATTGGAATTTAAGACATTCGATTTGGAATTCTGCCAGTCGCATTAGTAGATTTTAAAAGAAGATAATTGGAAATAAAACTGATGTACCATTTAAGAATTGAAACAAAAGTGTGTATGTGCATGAAAGCACCATCCCAGAATATCAAAATGATTTAATAAAAACTACTTGACAAACTCAAGGAGGATGAATAACTGTCATTGTGCTATGCTTTTCCCTGCATTCTATGTATTTATGTTGTCTTGTGCTGAGAGTATATGTAAGCAAAATCTCACACTAAAAGAAGTGCATACATAAGTAGGCAAGTAGCCAACGTATATCTTCAGCTAGAGCAGTTTTATGACACGGTTACAGAAAAATACAAAAACACTGCAGAATGAGGAAGTACATAGCATATATATTTCAACCATAAATATTGCCAAACAACATTTGACATCAACATTTTCTTTCACTTTGCCTCCCTGATTATACTTGGTTATGTTTTATTAGCATAATATGTTTTCCCTTCAGCAGAAAGCAATAAAATGGAAAGGCCCAGTTCCACCAAATATGCTTTCTGAACTCCATGTGTGTATGTCGTTAATGCTTCATTAATAGCTTCAAAAAAGCAGATTTATACTCAGCTTAAAAAAAGATTGTGAGAAGGCTATAAGTACTTTACACATTCATTCTTTAAAAAAAGGTTTGCCTAAGAGCTTTATGTATATACTGTAATAGAAGCAATTGCTAGGTTGAGTATCAAGTGTAAGAATAGATAGAATATAATAGAATACTTTATTGGCCAAGTGTGATTGGACGCACAAGGAATTTGTTTTGGTGTAAATACTCTCAGTATACATAAAGAAAAACAGTCAAGTGGGAGGGGATGGGTGGTAAGGAGTGGTGAGAAGATTAACAGTAATAGTAGTGTACACTTTGTAAATAGTTGAACAGTGTTGAGGGAATTATTTGTTTAGCAGAGTGAGGGCTTTCAGGAAAAAACTGTTCTTGTGTCTAGTTGTTCTGGTGTGCCATGCTCTATAGCGTCGTTTTGAGGGAAGGAGTTGAAACAGTTTATGTCCGGGATGTGAGGGGGCTGTGAAAATATTTACAGACCCCTTTTTGACTCGTGCCCTTTTTGACTCGTGCAGTATACAGGTCCTCAATTGAAGGCAAGTGAGTAGTAATTGTTTTTTCTGCAGTCCTAATTATCCTCTGAAGTCTGTGTCCTGTTGGGTTGCAGAACCAAACCAGACAGTTATAGAGGTGCTGATGATAGACTCAGTAAGTTTGTTCAACTATGGTTTATTGATTTTAAGGGAAATTAAGATGAGGGTATTTAAACAGATTTGGTTTTGGTTCAATTTTTTTCAACAAAGAGAATTTATGTTCCATCAGGAAACTGAAGAACAGGAATTAAAGTTGAGGTTGACAGAGCCATGGGTAGAGAATATTTCTTTTGAATGTATTTAAATCTCAGTGCATCCTAGGATACTGAAGTCTGGCTGAAATGTTACGTAATACATTTCAAAAATCTGCAGAAGTGGTGAGTACCAGATAAATGGAAAAGTATAAAGCTCTGTGTCTTCAAAATTAGGAAAAAGGGGGAACTATAATGTGGTGTGTTGCTTAGAGGCACATACACACTTTTCTTTCAATTTTTAAGTGATATGCAATTTTCATTTCCAATTGTCTTTTAAAATGCAATGCTACTGGTAGAATTCCAAACTGTGTGCTACAAATTGAAGAAAATATGTGGGAAGAAGTAAGGAAAAATAAAAGACAACTCAATTCTGGAAAAGGGGAAAATGTGAGAAAGAAACTCAAAATAACCCTACTTTGATTCTGTTGGGTATAAGAATGGAAAGAGGGAAACTCTGCCAGTCTTCAAGATTCGGTACAATTCCTCTAATCCTTGCACTGTTTCACAAGTTGGGCTACCTCAAAATATAGACTACTTGGGAAGATTCTAGACCAGATTACAAAAAGATTTATGTATGAGCACTTTAAAAGCAACACAAATTAACAAATTTGCAGATGAAACTAAATTAGGACATATACATTTATTAAAAGACAAAAGTAATTTTGGGGTTATTTTGATGGAATATAGAAATGGGTTGAAATTGCAAAATAAATATGTAATGGAGACTTATGCTTAGCTGTTTACATTAAAAAAAATCAAATTCTCAGATGTAAGTTACTCAGCTTGGAAATAATACTTAAAGATTTATTGGAATGTGTAGTGCAGCTGACTTCTTACTGAATATGAGTCAGCAGTATAATGTGGCTGCACGAAAGCAAATGCAATGTGGGTGGCATAAAGAGAATGCTTGATCAGATCTCAGTTTCAATATTGATTGAGTATTGATAATCTCCAATTGTCTGGAGAAATTGTGGGATCTCTGTCGTTATAGAAGTCCAAGAACAAGCTTAATACCTGTATGGTAGGGATGCTTTAATTAGGATTGGGCTTGATGGCCTAAGGAACTCTTGACTTTTTTCAGTTGACCTGAATCATAGTGATTTTACACAAAACCCTAAGCTAAACTCAAACCTTATTGTGAAGTACAATGTGTGAAACAAGTCTCCACCAAACTAAGATACTTTTAAAAGAAAATAAGAGAATTTATGAAAAACATGCTAGTGTTTGGTTATCATTCTGGATATATTTTATATATCTTGTTGTTGGTGACTTGGGACTGAGCCTGCTATTGTACTCAGTTTGTGATCTTCAACTTAGTGTCTAGATGCTCACCAAGATTCCTAGTCAAGGACACATAAAAAGATGTTAACAGTGGTGATTACTTTTTGTTAGTTAAACAGTTCAGGGAGAAAAATAGAGACCCTTTCACATGTGGGTAGTTCCAAAGAGATGTGCATCTTCTTTTGAAATTGGCAATTTATGATGGTCAAAGTTTTCCTGTGTCATAATAATTAGTTGGGGCCAAATGTACTGATTCTATAAAACATTTGAATGTTCAGGGTTTATAGGGCTTGAAAGTTGCTTTGATTTCACTGTCTTAAATATACAGTATACAGTATAGACAAATGATTCTGCGTAGAGTTAGAAGTAAAACTTTCTTGAACAGACTGAAATTTGAATTCCACAATTCTGGGTAGAAAGACAGCTTCTAGCATAGTCTCTGTAGCAAGCACTGTGTTTTAAGTGCTGAATAAAGAGGAAGGAAACAGTGAATGGTATGTACATTTTTTTTAACAAAGCCCCACTTTACACTGAGTAATTTTCTTGATGCTGTTACACAACTATAGTGCAGTATTAATCTGGCATTCTATCCTATCTTGGTCAGTAAGAGTGCAAGAGACAGCATTACACTGTGGAGAAAAAACAGGAAATTCTGAATGGCAGAATTTAATTGGTAGTAGTGTATTGTAAAAGAACACAGTTCAGCTGAACAAAACAGCAGAGAAATCAGTGTGGTATCATAGATAGGTACCCTGTGCTACACAGTAGAGGCCTGAATCTAAATTTTAGCTCTTAGTTTGCAGAAATATTTTACTTCCATAGTCAACTTTGCATGGTTCTTGTGAAGATATCAGGCAGTAGTTGCATCCCCTTCATTTCACACTACTGGAGAGCCAGATAAATGAATGAAATGACTTATGGGCTAGATTGAAATGGTAACCATCGGATGGCTATGAATTCACAGTCTTGTCTGTTCAAGAAGATGTAAATGTAGTTCTAGTTTGGCTTGGCTTTTATCCAGCGTTTAGAGATGATTATCTAGTAGCAATGCCATAGGTAACAAAATCTGACATGTATATGCAAGAAGTCATTGTCCAAATGCATCTCAGAAGAAACAAGTTACTGCCACAATGCCACATAGATATTAAAAATGAACTCAGCTGAAATACACCCATCTTCTGAGGGCCAGCTGTCAGTCTATTATTAAATTAACTTTCTTGACAAATATGCTTCAGAAGCTAGCTTTGTCAGTGTGAAATATGTGACCCAACTTGCTCATTGGAACAGTCTTCATCTGTAGTGATGTAGTGATATGTGGAAGTGGCCTTGGGAGAGGGGGCTGAAAGCTGCAGATTGGACAGTCAGTGTGTAAAAAAACTACATCAGCCCCAAGGAAGAGAGGGCATGGGAAATATTTCAGACGGGACCCATGTTAGTTTTCTGGAGAATAAAAGGAAAGGCGGGGAGAAATAACTTCTTTGCATGATTCTGTTAATATAATCTTAAAATAAACATAGAGCTACTATTTCTGGTCTGGGCTAACATGCAGGGCTGACATCCTTTTAGTTGAGCTTCTGGTGACTTCATGGTCTTGCCATATTGTGGCAATAATAATATTTTCTTCAAGATTTTCCCCCAATTTGACTTGTAGTCTTAGTAATTCATGAGATATTCAAGTCCTAACCTAGTTCAATTCTGCTTAGCTTTTTAAGATCAGTTGCATGCTATCTGATGTGGATACAACATTGTAGCACACCCAGTGAAATTGGAACACTTCTGATGAGATATGACTTTTTTCTCCTGTCTTCATTTCTGAGCTACTAACAGAAGTTTAGCATCTTATTTAGAATATTATTTGAATTTAGTTGATTAAAATGGCTTGTTCCAATTCTGGGATTCTGTTGGAAAATGGTAAATTGGACAGCTTTATGGAAATTGTCAAATTTCAGTGATATGTATATTAACTTTAAGAAAATATGTCAAACAATTTAACGTCAGGTGGCATTTGTATTTGTAACTGTTATTAATAAACCAGCCTCTTCTCAACTGGTAGATTTTAAAAATTCAATAGATGTAGTTTTAAAGTTGTTTTAAATGGTTTAGATTGACATTTCAATATAAAATATGAAAAATATCCATTACTATTATTTAGTTGTGAATGGTTTTATAATGTTCAATTTCCAGAGTGACTGAGGCATCTATTGTTTTTAAAGACTGGTGGAAGAGCCAGAATTAACCAGATGTTTTGTTAGTTACATGCCAGTTTTCATTTTTATTTTAATTCCAAAATAAAAAGAAGAAAGGAATGGGGTGAAGCTTCTTAACTTTTTACAATGCTTCATTAAGTCTGAACAATTGTTGTTGCAGTGATAAGATACTATATTCAGTTAGGACTGTCATGATAGCCTCAGTTGAAATAGTACGTCTGTTCTGTAATATAAACGAATTTCTATATATGGAATAATTAAAAGTTTAACTACAATCTGTCTGACATTACAGCCTTGTATGAAAACATTCATAGAAATAGTTAAATATTGGATCAAACTGGATAAACTATTTTGTTTGGAAATGCCTGTACTTGTGTTTTGATAGATCTTGGTTGCAAATACACAAAAAAGACATAGTGATGAAATTGAACCAAGTGGGGTCAAAAAAGAATGGAGAGCAAGCAAATCAAAAATTCAAAACAGAGATATCATTATTTAATAACAGGGAAGAGAAAAGAAAGAGTGAGAAGAATTACTGTGAAATAATTTCATTTGATGTCAGATCAATTTTGCCTGAGAAGGTCAATAAATGCCAATAGGTTTTCCTTTGGTTTATAAAATTTTGTTTATGGAACTGTCTATCTCCACACTGGTAAAGGAAAAAAGCCACAACATGAAATCAAAAGTTTAAGTCTTTGGAAAGATTTTTTTTTTTAAAAAAAACCCACCAGTTCCCAGCAGAGCCACAGTTTGTAAACTACACCTCCCCACAGAGCTTTTTAGCATTTTATGGTAATGCCTATACTTTTAGAAAAATGCAAGGTAAAAATTACAGGCACTCCGCAGAATTATCCATAAAAAGGTTGTGCATGGTAGTAAATTAACTTGCAGGTTTTGGCCATCCTTCATGGGTGTCAAGTGCAATTATGTTTGTGGAAAGTAGTTGTCAGACTGAAGTTTATGAAACTCCATCTGGGGAATGGCATAAAAGTCTGGTTGGTAAGGAGATGAATTCCACCATTCCACATTCCAGGAATTTAATTGCAACTCTTTATCCTTTCCAAAAAGATAAAAGGACTATATATTGTATATGCAAGTGTTGTTTACAGGACTTAGTAAGAAGTAGGCCTTGCTAGCCTTGGAATTTGCTGTAAAGGTCAGTCCAAAAACTTAAAAGATATATTGAAGACTAGTGTACTTTCATGTGAAAAGTGCCGATAGCAAACTTTATTCAAGTGGGACTAACCAGAACCATACTGTATATCCTATCTTTCTTCTTCCCTCCCTCTCTCCCTCCCTATCTTGCAATAATTGATAGAGGAAGTTTTCATGTCTTTATAAAAACAGGAAGCAAAATTACTAGAAACAATTCTAGAAACAACTAATAGGTAGAAAAATAGGCTAGGGAAAATTAGTGTTGTTGTATCAACAGGTTTTTCTGATCTGGAAATTAGTTAGGAATGTTATTGGCACATTGTCCAAACCCCAGGCAAGTTTTATGTATTTGATGCACATGTATACACATCGGTGTATAAGTTTGTTTTTTGAGAATTTTGAATTAAACTCTACTTTTGCTTTAGAGATTTTATCAGGCCTTTTTTATCTTTCTTCTATTATATCTTCTTTGTCACATAACCTAAACAAACCTACTATCCAAAAAGTTGCATCGTTCAGTGAAATATTGTTTATTTTGGAAGCTGATTTTGCTTACATACTAATCAGAGATGGTATTCAGCAGGTTCTGACAAGTTCTGGAGAACTGGTAATGGAAATTTTGAGTAGTTCGGAGAACCGGCAAATACCACCTCTGACTGGAGATTTTACAGTATCCTTCCCCTGCCACGCCCACCAAGCCACACCCACAGAACCGGTAGTAAAAAAATTGAATCCCACCACTGATACTAATAATGATTAATTCCATTACCATTGTTGAAATACAGTAAATATCCTGTGTTTGTGATAATGTGGCAATTGAAATTGTACAGTGCAGTTAGAAATCATGGACCTTATTTAGCTGTTAATATTTTGTAATATTCAGGTTTTATTTATTATTTGCAATAAATATTATGGAACTTATGGGTAGTCTTACTTTCTTCTTTATTTTTAGTGTGCTGATCCAGACCCCCTTGAAAAAAAATGTCCAGTAGGGGTGGAAAGAAAAAGTCAACCAAAACATCTCGCTCAGCAAAGGCTGGGGTCATATTCCCTGTTGGACGAATGCTTCGTTATATAAAGAAAGGTCATCCAAAATACAGAATTGGGGTCGGTGCTCCAGTATATATGGCAGCAGTACTTGAATACTTGACTGGTAAGTTCATTTTAATAAGACAATAGTGAGAAAGCAATAAAAATATAAAATAATCATAAATGGAATTCATGAACGAAGTGAGGAGGAGGTTTGGTGTAGAAACATTATGCACATAATCCAGTTTGTCAAGTTTTAATCCCGGTTTCTTTTTTCTAATTCTTGGAAGTACAATACCATAAAATTTGAGCAGTTGTAAATGTTTTTTTTTAATTGAATTTACAATAGATTTCTCTGAAGATTTGTAGCTTTTGAATAATTGTTTGTAATATTTAAATACCCATGTGCCCTTACAGTATGTCAGCTTCTAATAAGAATCAAGGTCAGAGTGTAACAGTGATCTTTAATGCATATAAAGTTTCTGCTCATAATTTGATTTTACAAGAGAAAAAGACCACAAATAGAAATTTAAGTCAACTTTTTAAAATAGAAGCAACTAAGATAATATTTTAAAAACCCTATATTTTTAAAACGTACAGTACTGAAAAATTATTGTATCTTCATGAAATGTTGTTAATTTCACTTGGGCTAAATTTTTGTAAGGTATAGGTAGCTAGGGTTAGCAGGATTCTTTGTTCGTTGTAAACTTGTAAAAGTTAAATATACAACTTTTAAGAAAACCGAATTATGTTTATTTTTAAAAAGATGTAATACTGAGCTGCTTTTAAATATTAAGTAGATTAATATTGAATAATATCAGTATAAAGCTAAAGTATTTCTACTATTCAGTTTATGTGCCCTTAAGTCTAATTCAATTACTGATTAAATGGATACATCCATATTGCTTCTTGATAAAATATGAAAATTTTATTTGCATCATTGCCTTTGGGATTCCCCCCCCCAAAAAAACTTTTTCAGACCTGACATTTCCTAAGTTTTTCATCCAATTACTAATCAGGTTTGACCCTGCTTAACTTTTCAAGACCAACCATAGTCATCTAGAAATTGCCACTTGTTAAGACTGCCAGGTCTTCTGATAGTCTCTAAATATTTGAGATCAAAGTAGTGTATTCTTGAGTTAGTATATTATTGTAATATAAATATCTAAATTTGTATCATTATGCATTTTTCTTGGGAGTAAAAGGAATACTATCAGACATGAAATCTAAATCACAATATTCAAAACTGCATGTCCTTTTACAAAATAATCTTTGCCGTGTGTCTTATTTAAGAGAACAACTTGCAACATGTATTGCTAGAAATGTTTATGTGCAACACATGCCTCCAATTATGTAACTGTTTTCCTCATTTCTGTCAGCTGAAGTATCTTGAGCAGAGAAATAAAATGAAGCATGAAGATCAAATGTGGAGGTTGGCAAAGATGGGGTGGTAGTGTAGAAGTATCCGGCAACTTGGGAATTTGTAAACATGGTCTGCAATCACTAAGGAAGGTATTATAGAAAGAACTGAGAAGAAGGCATTGTCTACTTCTAATTAGTTCCATTATGAGGAACTGTGATTACTCTGTGCTTGTATTCCTGCACATGTTTTCTTTTAATTGCCTGCATGGTTTTTCTGTTTAACTAATTTTTTTAAATAAGCAAAGTTCAGAAAAAGACACTTTCATTTGACTGATTACTCTGATGGCTGTGCCCATTTAAAATCATTATGATCAAAAGTGAAAATGTTTATTTGCAGTGGGAATGTGTCATTTGCTTTTATGAAACAAACAAACAAGAAGTACTCCATTTCATGGTCCTTTGAAATCTTAGTCTAGAGCACCGGCCTTTCAGAACTCAGGGACCACTAAATTCATAATTTTAAATCCCACAGACCAATAATATGATCTGCCTAATGACTGGCTGGGCGGGCGTGTCTAGATGGTCATGTGACTGGGTGGGCATGGCCAACTTGATGTCACTTACATTGAGGGGCACCTCGCCGGCCTCTACATAGGCATTCCAAGCAGAGGGAAGACCTGCGGGAGTGCAAAGCCACATACCAGCACCTGGAGGCTTAGCAGGCTGAGATGGTTGGCAAGTTCCAGGCCATGATGCAGTCCCACTGAAACAAGTCCTTCTGGCTCTTTGCCATCAGCAGCATTCCCTCCAGCCTTCGCCCAAAGCCCTGCACCAGTAGGCTGAAGCAGACCTCAAGTCGGAATTTCTGCTCCCCACTGACCCACACAAAAAGACCCCGAAGGGGGAGACTCTGCAGCAACACAAATGCTCTTTGCATGTACCTGGTTGGGGGGTGTAGTACCCGACCCAGGGGGCATTTTTGAGGACCCCTGATTTAATGCAATATAACAAATGCAAATAATTTTTCTGTGGACCACCAAAATTTTCTCCTGGACCACCAGTGGTCCATGGACCACCAGTTGTTGACCGCTGGTCTAGAGCACTGTGTTTCAACCTTAACAAATTTAAGATGCATGGACTTCAATTCCCAGAATCAATGCCCACTTGAATGCTGGCTAGAGAATTCTGGGGGTTGAAGTCCACACATCTTCAAATTGTCAAAGTTGAGAAACTAGTCTAAATGATCAAGTAAAATTCATCCATTGTATAGCTTCTGTTCCCTGTAATTAAGCAATTTTATCTAGCAGTAAGTAAGCAAGCATTCTCTGTTGCAGCACGTGTCTAGTGGGCCGCGAGAAAATTTTGATGGGCTGCAGAGAAATGTCACCCCTAGAGCACCCCCCCAAAGCAATTAATCCAGGCTGCGCAGAAACACAAAGCTGCGCCACCCACATGGCCCATGGGGAAAAAAAACCCCGCCCACTCCTTACCCGGCAAACTTGCCTGCTAAATTGCTGTTTTTCCTTTCCATACATTTCTCTAATATACTTGGGATGTAGTTTGCTAGAAAAGTGCAATAGGAAGAATCCTAGAACTGTCTGTTTTGCCCATTAACTTTTTCCTCAATTGGAAATGAACTGCCAGTACATGCATTTTATAAATTTAAAACAAACAATGCAAAAAAATAAATAAATCCCAGGATTGTAACTTCTCCTTGGAGTTGCTGATTTTGAGAGTTTGTTCTTGTGTGTTATGGCATCACCAAAATCCTCAAGAAATTTCAGATGTAAAAAATCAGATTTCTGTTGAATCATAATTCATGGATGAAGACTTATGCTAAGGCATTGAACGCTTGAACAATAAAGCTCTCTCTTGCCAGTTTGTTTTACTTACCATTTTAAGTCCTCATTATGTTGGTTGTTCCATTATCTTGAACTCAACCCGCAATATTACTTGAAGTAATTGAAGTAATTTAAAAACATGGGGCAATTGTATCCGAGTCATAAAACATAATTTTTAAAGGATGTTTATTGCAACCTCTGTGATGTGTAAAACTAATTTGATTTGATGAATAACGTAAGTTTTGAATATTACTTAAAAGGCATCCTAAGAGGGAATAAGAAGTTTTCAGTGAAAAATGACAGTATCCTTTTGCATACATGTCATTCCTGCATATGTTGTGTGGTATGATTTCTATTTATGTTTTGCGTGTCCAAGTTAAATGGATCAACTAATACCGAAAACAAAATATACTTACTTGAAACATTCTCAGATTGATACAGCCAACGAACCCCTTCATAGGCAGCAAGTATATTTTTCTGATAGCAAAAGTCTAAAAATGGGTTCCATGTTATATGTGACCGGCAATGTTGAAGGACTGAAATCTCTGAGCTCAGAATTGGTGACCCCCATCTAGAAGGCTTTCCACCATAGTCAGATGATCCACCTGTTTTGAAGGAAATCACATAAATCAAGCCAGCACCAGAGAGCACAACAGGCAGAGAAATTAGGAGGAAATTACAAAAGGCGATGAAGAAGTGAAATTGGGATGAGGAAATGCAGGGCCTCTAGGCAAAATTGCCCTTGTGGAACTGTTGGCTCTATATGCTGTTCTCTAATGTGGCAAGAATAAGCAAAATATTTTTATAGTCAAAATTTTTGAAGTTGATTTGCTGCTGTCTTTGAAAAGGGAGTCATGTCTTTGAAGACTATTGTAGGTAGTCCTTGACTTACAATAGTTCATTTAGTGGATGGGAAGCAAAACATTTTCAAGAAGGAAAACCAAGAAAGCCCACTTGCTTTTTGGAAAAGGACCCTTGGATCGTTTAGTGGCCATTCAAAGTTACAGCAGCGCTGAAAACAGTGACATGACCATTTTTCACACTTACAACTGTTGCAGCATCCCCATAAACATGCAAACAACATTCACATTTTGTCATTATTTATGACAGTTGCAATGTCCCAGGATCATTTGACTGCCTTTTGCTACCTTCTGACAAGCCAAGTTAATGGGGAAGCCAGATTCACTTTACAATTATGTTACTATGATTCACTTAAAACTGTGGTGACAAAAGTCTTAAAATGGAGCAAAACTCACTTAACAACTGTCTCACTTAGCAATGGAAATTTTGGGTGCAGTTGTGGTTGTAAATTGAAAACTACCTGTGTTCTATTATTGTTCCGTTGAAGTGAAAGCCAGTGATAGTATGGATTAGGTGCATTTACAGCTTTAAAAATGCACAAAAAAGAACTTTACAGTTTGTTTTAGTAATTACTATTACCTGACTATGCTTCACTTGTTTGGTTTTCAGTTCTAATTCTTGTATTTGTTTTCATCTTTCCCCTAATTTTCCTCCTGTCTTTTCAACAACTGTTTATCTCATCTAAAAAGCAGTATTTAATTCTGCAGTTGCAACATATAAATGATTACGGATGCTGCATTGAGGGTGTTTGGAAAACATAATGGCTTGTCAATGTCTCATGGCCACTTTGGCAGCAAGGTTAATAGACAATATAAATATTTGAGATTAAAATGTTCATTGCTATCTAGACCAGTAACATTTTGCATTCAGTATCAGAACATCTCTATAGTTAAATGTTAGTTTCTTTCCATTGTATCCATATTTTTTAAAAAATTCACTTTGCAGAACACACACATATATATACAGACATATATACAGACATATATACATACATACATACATACATACATACATACATACATACATACCTACATACCTGCCTTATAAGGCTGATTTCAAT